CCCTGTCCGCTCCACACTCCTCTCCAGCCCCACCACACCCGGCACTTTTCCCTGCAACCGCAGGAAGTGCTACACCTGCCCCTACACCTCCCCCCTCACCCCCATCCCAGGCCCCAAGACGACTTTCCACATCAAGCAGATGTTCACCTGCACATCTGCTAATATGGTATACTGTATCCGCTGTTCCCGTTGTGGCCTCCTTTACATCGGGGAAACCAAGCAGAGGCTTGGGGACCGCTTTGCGGAACACCTACGCTCGGTTCACAACAAACAACTGCACCTCCCAGTCGCGAACCATTTCAACTCCCCCTCCCATTCCTCAGACGACATGTCCATCCTGGGCCTCCTCCACAATGATGCCACCTGAAGGTTGCAGGAACAGCACCCCATATTTCGCTTGGGAACCCTGCAGCCCAATGGTATCAATGTGGACTTCACAAGCTTCAAAATCTCCCCTCGCCCTACCGCATCCCAAAACCAGCCCAGCTTGTCCAAGCCTCCCTAACCTGTCCTTCCTCCCACCTGTCCCCTCCTCCCACCTCAAGCCCCACCCCCATCTCCCACCTACTAACCGCATCCCGCCCCCTCGACCTGTCCGTCCTCCCTGGACTGACCTATCCCTTCCCTAACTCCCCACCTACACACCTTTAATGACTCCTTCCCCGCCTCTTGGACCTGCGTCTCCTCTCCACCTATCTTCTCCTTTATCCATCCTCTATCCGCCTCCCCCTCTCTCCCTATTTATTCCAGAACCCACTTCTCCCCCATTTCTGATGAAGGGTCTCGGCCTGAAACGTCAGCTCTCCTGCTCCTCTGATGTTGCTTGGCCTGCTGTGTTCATCCAGCTCTACACCTTGTTATCTCAGATATCTCCAGCATCTGCAGTTCCTACCACCCCTTAATGGGCCAGTTAGTTTACCCAATCAATAAATTAGTCAAACAAGCCAAAGTGGTCTAAATTAGATTTCCAGAAGCGCTCTTGCCTTGGGTCATCAGGTTGTATGATCACACTTCATTTCAGCAGTTGAGCAGATAATGTAGGACCATGTTCCAATGTAGGTTGACTGCACTGGGTAAGTTCTGTCTTTTAGACAAGATGCTAAACTGAAGTTTGACCTACCTTTTCAGTGGTCTCAGCAAATGTAAAAAAACTACTGCATACACCAGTGCAGGTAAACTACTCCTGATGTTGAATAAGCTACTGGCAAAATGTTCATATTAGTGCATTAACATAGCTTATATTTCTCCAGAATGCAGTTTCAGAATTAACTCAATCTTGTAGTCAATTTGTGGATATGAAACCAATTATGCTTTGCATTATTTCGTACGAAACTGTGCCAACAACTAAACTTGTACAAATTGGTTAAAATCTAGGTTTTGCTCCAACACCCTTGTTAAAAGCAACACGAGATCAGATTCATTCTACTTCCACAAAATGAAAGCTTTTGTATCAGAGCTGCCAGTGGACTTCCAGAAATTAGACTGTTTCAGAGATAAATCACCATTTAAACAAGTTCTGCCTAAGTTTCTCAGCACTAAAATTTCAAATGGAATTCCCAGCCGTAAAGCATGACAGAAAATTTACATGGTAACAGTTACTAATGCAAGATACACTTCATTTTTTCACAATTTACGTAAACCATATTTTCATTAACCCCAAATGATAATTCCACTTACTTGTGGTAGCAACAGGAATGCTGGGAAAATTGGTGGTGCTGGGAGTACTGGGCTCTGCTGGCGTTAACAATGCTGGTCCACTGTAGGTTTCAGCTGGTTGCCTGGTGCTAGGTGGATGTTGGATTGTCTGTAAAGAATGTCCTTCGGTGTTCAACAGAGACTGTTGTCCTTCAACTTGCCCATATTCATTCACAAATTCATCTTTTACTAGAAGGTTTGAAGGAGCTGGAACTAATTTGAAAATGAAGATGTCAATAAGCATTAATGAAGGATGACCGTTCATTACATTCAACTATTCCCAATTTTTCAAAAATGTCTTTCATATCATTCACCACTCAGTAATATAGCAGTGAGAAAACAGACAGGCGTATAAACCTACTTTCAGCTCTCCCCCAAAATCATTCTAACCAGATATTTAAAAGTTTATTAAAAATATGGTTAGCTTTCATGCATACAGTTGTTTCCTCCTGCCATGCTAAATATCTGCTCCGCACTTACAGATTGCTCTCTGCAGATAAGTGCTTCCCAGCACAATGGCTCAAGATTTCATGTGACCTTGGAGCAAAAACATTTGGAGTTAGGAGAATGGGAAGAATTCAGCACGCCTCATGTTTCTTCCATCCTTCATCCCTCCTCTTTATGGTGGAGAGAGTTGGTGAAAAGGCAAGGCGAATACAAAAGAAAAGCTACCTATTCATAAGCATTTTGCAGCAGCCATTGGACCTCATAAGCCCATTAGGCCTCTTCCACTGACAAAAAAAGATGGGAACTTAAAAGGCATCTCACAGCTGTCAGAAATCAGATGAAGCTTCACAGCAGCAACTATTACCTTGGAGTGGAGATCCAATTTGGGAAGTTCTGATGTAGTCATAACGCATGTTTATGTTTCACTAACTTATTACAATATTATCAATAAACTACAAAAAATTAAAACGTTCCAGTTTGATAGTGATTCATGAAACCAACAGTTCTGATTTCATATGCCTTTAAAGTGCTTCTAGGTGGGTGGGGAATTAACTGGGAATACTTATTTAATGAGCTCTTTTTGGTTAAGAGTATCACCTCAGATTCTCAACAACTTCCATAAGTGCATTTACATTTTGATCTTTCGGAGAATTTCCACAAAACACACTTCAGAAGGAAAACTTAATTCATCCCAAACGAACTGTTCAACATTTAAAATGTGATACATTTATTCATACACATTAACACTTAAGAACAGCACAAATATCATTTTAAAACAGAATCATAATTGTGAGCAAACTCAGCAGTACACCGCAACAAATCCAACACTACATGTATAACATGTCATTACATCCTAGCTGAAACAATTTACACTGAAAATCCAATTGTCTAAACTCTACTTGAATTCATGCAGTCAAGAAATATGAAAGAAAAACACAGAAAAGTCACAATCCAGAGGACGCAGCAAATTCTAGTCATTGCACACACAGCTAGATGAACCCACAAACAGGTTGGTGATAAACTTCTTACCTGAACTTTGCAGGGTCAATCCTGATAGATCTTTATTTTAAAATAAAAAGTAAATTGTTAGTTTTATTTTATCCAAACTTTGCAATATTTAACATGCCAAGTCTGAATGTTTCAGCACTGTAATTACATTTTTCTAGAAACAAAATAAAATTAATGTGATCAAATCTGCAATACTGACTGTTACCAAAAATGCACTGAAATCCACTCACCTTATGGGGTCTGTGGCAAAATGCAGAGACAGGTACCCAGAATGAAGTGGAGATCAGTGATACCATAACAAACATACAATTGCAATGCAATTGCGCCTTGACTCAAATTGTGAAAAATCTATTTACTATGAATTATTTAGTTGACAAACTAGTTTTCACCATTAGTCATTTTCAAATGCTTAGATGTGGACCATGGAGTTCTGAGAACTGCACATAAAGTTTAAATGTAGGTTACATACTTAGACGCCTCAAATTATTGATGCTGACAGACCTTACTATTCTGATTCCAGTTATAGATGCCAGAGAGATTATATACAAACTCAAGCCCAGGTGAGCCAAAAAGCTAAAAGTATAAGTGCAAACAGGAGCAATTTAGCTTGGCTTCAAGGGCTAATTCTGTGTTACTCAAGTGCTGCAGGTTGAACATGGCTGTATTACATTAAATAACTACCACAGCAATTGTAGTTTGTAGCTTTGTACCTTCAAGTAGTGGTAGAGTAATATTAACAGCATTATAATATTCTCCGACTTGTTTAAGTAAACAGTGATGAGAAGCTCGTTTGTAAGATAGATATAGAACGGGTTTAGTCATAGAAAACAGAGTTGCTGTGGAAGGGTGTTTTTCTGACTGGAAATCCATAACCAGTAGTGTCCTGCAAAGATCAGCACTGGGATCCCTGTTGTATATAATACATTCTCCTCCAAATCACATATAAATGTAGGTGCCTGGTTAGTAAAGTTTGAGGATGACACAAAGATTGAGAAGCTGCAAATAGTGAGGAGGATTGCCAGAAGATACCGCAGGATATAGACAGGCTGGAGACTTAGACAGAGAAACGGCAGACAGAGTTTAATCCAGACCAATGCAAGGTGATTCAGGTACGTACCACATTTTGTGTTTTTAAAAAAAACACTTGCTTCTCACATCTCCTTTAAACTCCACCCCCACCCCTCCTTTTTACCTTAAACCTATGTCCCCTAGTAAGTGACATTTCTACCGTCGGAAAAAGACTTCAACTATCCATTTTTTCCATGCCTCTCATTATTTTGTAAAAGTCTATCAGGTCATCCCTCATCCAAGTAAAAGTTGGAAGATCTAATGCAGGAGGGAAATATAAAGTAAGTAGCAGAACATTTAGTATCATCAACATAGAAGGGGATCTGGGTGTACAGGTTCACAGTTCCCTGAAAGTGGCAATACAAGTGGATAAGATGATTAAAAAGGAATGTTGCATGCTTGCATTCATTGGTCAGGGCACACAGTATGAAGACTGGCAAGTCATGTTGCAGCCGTACAGAACTTTACTTCGGCCATACTTGGAATATTGTGTATAGCTCTGGTTGCCATGCACTACCGGAAGAATGTGTACCAGAGGGTATAGAAAAGGCTTACCAGGATACAAGCTGGTTTGGAGGGTATTAGCTATAAGGAGAGATTGAATAAACTTGGTTTGTTTTCACTTGAACAAAGGATGAGGGATGACCTGATAGACTGTTACAAAATAATGAGGGGCATGGACAAAATGGATAGTTGAAATATTCTACCAAGGATAGAAATGTCAATTACTCGGGGACATAGGTTTAAGGTGAAAAGGAGGGGTGGGGTGGAGTTTAAAGGAGATGTGAGAAGCAAGTGTTTTTTTTAAACACGATAGGTGGTATGTACCTGGAATACGCTGCCAAAGGTGGTGGTAAAGACAGATACAAAAACAATGTCTTAGAGGCATCTTGACAGATATACGAATAGGCAGGGAAGGGAGAGAAATGGGCTGTATAGAGGCAAAAGCTTTTTAGTTCAGAAAGGCATTGTGTGTCAGCACCGTCTTGGTGGGTCAAGGGGCCTGTACTGTTTTCAATAAATTTTACTTATTTTTAAAAACAATATCAGTCTCAACAAGTTTTACTGTTCATTTTACTGCTGTCTTCAGTAGTCTTTTTAATAATTTCATTACATGGAAACAAACTGCTTGAAGCAGTAATATCCTTTTTTCTACCAAGCCTTCCGAAAATGTGGTTATTGTTTTCATATTTCCTTACGCATAATATAGTACAATCAGGGTCAAGGTTTTAGCCCTTTGCTTATTACCTAATTTTGAGACGTCGTGATACACAAATTATTAAATTTTAAATGCAAGTTTTATTCAGGAAATAACAGAGCATACAGTATGCAAAACATTAACATG